AAATAACAATTGCTAAGACGCACTCTTTTGTTAACGGCATCGGATAATAAAGGGCACGGGTATGAAATATAAACAATCATTTTATGATCACCTGCTATCTTTTTAAAGCAACTCACGTTATTCTTATGAACAGATTGTGCTCGATTTCGCTACCAAATTGAAATAACATCATCATGATAAAACATAAATGATGCTGAAATTCGTCTCGTATCAGCCATGTGTATTGTTTCGCATAATGTATAACGTTCTGTAATGATCTTTCATCTAAATTAAGGTTGGGTATAAAACAGTAGGAGGCAATATAATTAGGTCCACAATTAATGAACCGGGATTAACAATGAAGGCGTTTAGAGTTACATTATGGGGGGGGGGGGGGGGGGGTCTTGCCTTCCTTAAGAACCCACACACACAAATGTGTTGTTGTTGTTGTTAACGTTGTTATAGTTTGTCAGTGATTTTCCGATACCCCCCCCCCCCCCCCCCCCCCCATTTTTTAAAAACAAAAAACATTGGACCTCTCCCTGGTTTAACCCATCCCCTCAGACTCTTCTATCGTGATTAATGAGGCTCACACATTATGTAAATATGTCATAACAGTAACACTATACATGAGGGTAAAAAGAGATAATAAATCTTCATAAACCGTTTATTACTATTTTGTTGTGCTGAATTCCAGTGCTGCCTGTATCAGTCAAGTATGTACCCCTCGTGGGCCCCGAAATTAATAAGACTGGAATGACAGTTTTTAAATGTATTCAAGGGACGGTTAAATTACGTGTTTTCATCAAGCTGAAGGAGACTCATGTTACAGTTCCATGCATCTCAGTGACCCAGTCTAAACACTGAATGGCTCGTGGAGAATATTAGAATGAACGAACAAATTAATCAATTTTGAAAGAAATTTACGACACATACTCCAGTGACAATATTGCCCCGCTGTCAATTAAATTACAAACACTAACCGAATTCTATACCTAACCCTATCTATAGTCTAACCCAGTTTTCATCTTGAACATTAAATCTTTATTTTGAAAAAAATAAATTCCAAAGCAATTCTCGCTACCCTAAATAGGTACGAAAATCTCGAAATTCGCGAGACGAGGTAATTTTCACTCTCTCGGGTCGTCACTACAACTTCCGGTATAGAGTCCCATCCCGCTGGCGCTAGCGCCTGTGTTCGCTGTGCAGAGTTTTCACGCACGCTAAAATCGATGCCAATCAGTGTAATTTGTACAGATTATAATATGCAATGGAAAGCTTCGGGCAGAATTAGTGACTTTAGCACAAAAGGCCGTTAAACTCTACCGTGAAAGAGAGGGTTGTGATCACGAACGCCTGCACAGGAAGCTGTAATGTCGAAAAGCTATCCCATAATGCAATGCGCTTTCAGGATTTTCCCGGATCTCGGCAGAATCGCTATTTGGGGTAGCGAGAATTGTCGCCTGATCAATGTCGAAGCACCATGGTAGCAGATATATCTCAAATTCTTTAAAATGTCATATCATTTGTCTATGTAACAATGGAAATCCGTGGTATCTATATGGTATATGGATACATAAGCATATACATTCATTCAAAAATACATGCCGAAACACTACCTTTTCGAAGTGCCCACTGTATACAATTTTGCAGGTTGGGAATATGCCCTTCGACGGTATGCAGTGCCAGCAAAAAAATATTTATATGTTTATGATATGTACATGTATTACCACAAACCATACATATTGCTTTTGGTTATAACATAAACGCAGATGCAAATGCATCAATGTCCAAAAGGGCGTGCATTTTTATGATTTTGTCTCCTTTAAAAGTCAGGAAAGAGGAAGCGTATACAGTCATGTTCGATATAGAATACATTATTTTAAAAGTGGGGAGGGGCGATTAGAAGAGGGGGGGGGGTAGTTGTTTCCTACCTGGACTTGCCAATGACATTTTTTTTGTTAATACTCTGTATATAGGCAGTATTTCATAAGCAATTTTTGTTACATTATTCCATGATAATAATCCTACAGTATATTTGAAATGGGTCAATTATTATGATATCTTTATATTGCTTTTTGAAATATTGTCGTGTGGTAGTTTATTAAGGCAGTTATCCTAGAAAACATGACATTTTGGTGTATTTGTCAAATAAAAAAAATAACTTACACCTGTACAGTTAACACTTTCATGTGAATTTTCATTTTAAATCACCTATTTTCTAAAGATATCAGGAAAATAAATATAAAAATACAAAATGTCCATTGTTGTGCATTACATAATTACTTAACACAACATTCTCGATATGTCGAATTTCTTTCATTTATATTCATGCCATTTATAATGAATGCGGTAAATCGCGATCGAGTGTGAAATTCATTGTGGCCGATTAAAATAATGATAATAATGAATACAAACAGACACGGGTATAGGATTCACCTTCAAATCTACACCACTAAACAGAATATATACAACTAAATCATTCATACCCTTACCAAGATTTGAGTTTTTTGAAGAATGTGTACATTTTATTTATCCCCATTTGTGTTTCATGAGAATGTGACATATTAAAGCTTACATCTAAAAGTATTCAACAAAGGTCCTATCTCAATCATTCTTTCTTTTTTAATATTTTTTTACTGACGATTTATTATTGAATTTGGTTCTTATCTATATCACTCTCCAAAATTGTATTCAAGCCATGGGCCCCTCGATAAACATGCACACTAGAGGTGACTTCTCATCAATGTTTATCACCATGGTAACAAAGTGGTCCGACAATATAGATAGATGTTCATGGAACTTTCAATTAATTAAGGCATAAATGAATAGGCCACCTCATCGGAGCATCAGCGGCGAGACATAATGTCTGGTGCAATGCTTTTTCTGCTATGATAGAATCACGCTCGTTGTATTGCCTGACGTCGCACAGTGTCATTTGACTGGCCCTTTGACGCAAAAGTGTGATATTTTTGTACAAAAAGTGACTGAAAAATGTAGAGTGTAATCAGGGAGGCTCCCACCTCCCTCCCGGCATATTCATTGCGTGAATGACTGATATGTGCACTGACTGACCCAATATAATTATGGCAACACGAACACGATGCTTCATTACCCTAACGTATAGCCTATGTCACTGATACGCAAAGATAAGATTGACAACTGCGTTAACATTAATATTGGCGTATGGGCTAATTGCCTTCACAGGCTCTCGATTGGCGCAAGCAATAACGCATTCGAAGTAACGCATCGTGGGCAATGGGCATTGCGGCTCCAGAAAATGAACCGGTTGACTCATCGTCTTCCAATCTTATTTTATGTCCATGAAAATGGCAAGACGAGAACAAAGTCCAAACAAAAAGTTTATTTGACCTCCCTGATTTGACGTAACTGCATACACACTCTGTACCAACTTAGTAAACATAGATTGTATAATTCAAACTGAATAGTATCTAGCCCATGCCAAACAACACTGTAAGTGCGAAGAACCATAACGGGCTATTCAGTCAATACAACAGCTCTCCAGACTTCAGGAGAGCTGAACATAATAAAATACATATAGGCCTAGTACAGTTAACAACTATATTATTCATATCTTTACCAAGGTTTTGTAATTTTTCTAGTATGTGAAAAATTGAGTTGTCCCGATTTAGGTTTCTTGAGAATATGACGTATGAAAGGTTATATTGCAAAGTAATCAACAAAGGCCCTAATTAAAGCCAGTCCACCTATCATTCTTGAGTTAAGAAAACCACAAAAAATTCAAGTTCACAAGGCTATGAACTATGAAGTATGAATCCCAGACCCGTTAGAGCGGCACATCCCCGTATGTCTTAATATATGAGTACCCCCCCCCCCCATCGCTGGGCTATGAATAATTCAGTTTTTTTTTACTGTTTCTACTCTGATCCTGAGTGAGATAATAGATATCTATCACGAAATAGTACGTTTACAGAATATAAAAACAGCGACATGCATACATTGTAGTGAACGTAATATGCTCATCTTTTGAGATGACAACAAACATGCGCTATATAAGGACGAACTATTATTATTATTATTATTATTAAAAGTCGAAATCACAAATCCTTCTTGTATTTGTAACACATAACTCTCCCATTGACAAGCTGGTTCTGGTGTGTATTATCATATTTGTAACTATGCGTTTGTTCTTTCAGTACACATCATTTACTCAAAATTCATCAATTTCACTGACTCTCACATGGAGTACATTATGCTTCCATTATAATGTATGGTTTTAACTTTTAGTTATCCTCTTAATGAATAACTTCGTTCCAAACATGTTCCATGATGGAAGATTTGAGCTATTTCATTTACAGCATTATATTAGCTATATTTTAAATGAAGAGCTTTTACAAATGACATGAAATCATAAAACGATACAAAATGGCCGCATTGGCAATATACATTTCATACACTGTAATATAGAGTAATGTTGACTTAAAATAGAAATTCATAATCATATCCGCTTTTCTCACAAAACCGGTTCCTATCCTAAACCTCCTGTGAAACTTTCAGGTCGACTCCCTTTGAATGCGTCAATCATAACTTGAGGGTGTTAACAGAGGGGGGGGGGGGGGGGGGGGGGGGTTCCATGTTTTCACAGAGGAACATAATTAAACACAGCCAGAAAGTATATAGAATGATAGACAAGGAGACAATGGAGACAAGTTAGGAACTCCTTTTCAAGCCTAGTTAACCACTATCCGTGACGAAGGGAACAAAAGCACAAAACACTCCGAGATTCAATGGAAAAAATGGAATCGTTGAGTCATCCACCTGTAGATAAAGCACAACAAATTTTGCTGATAATGCAAATCTATGAATTTTTGTAGCCGCCACAAATCAAACAAATTACAGTACAATTCAGAACAACAAGCACAAAATGATGACAATGCATAATGTTTCAACACTATTCGCATAATGTGGGGGTGGGGTTATAACAATGATACTACTAGATTAAATACTAGAATATTTTTCCTTAATTTATTTGTTTTTACCTGTCGCCTGGATCTTTTCGGGTAACACGAACAGAATCATGAACCCGATGGACAGAAATCGTAACCACCGAGGCATTGATGACCATGTCTGCCGTGCCTGGGCCGAGGGTGATCCACTGATGCTGGTGGTGGGCATATATCGCTGCTTCGGACTAGCTCTCCATTTCTCCATGTGAACGAACATGCACGCATTGTTGCAGGGTGCAAAGGCGATTGTCTGGCTCCGTCGTCGGCTCGAGAGAACTTTTTGGTTTTCTTCCTCAAATGATTCAACTTTATTCTTGACCTTATTCACAAGTACACGTCCTCTAAAGTTCCAGTAAGGAGGATTCACATCACAGCATGAAACGTCCTAGGAACATGATCAGATTGCACGACTAGTTACAACAGATCTATTATATATTATGAACTGTACAAAGACAGATCTATTTCATCTCTGCATGCCTTGATCCACGGCACAATGTGGGCAGACGTCGACCAGCTGTATTATGCGGGTACAAGTAAACACAAATTTAGTCTCATAAAATAGACCCTTTCAACTTAACCATTGATATGTTTTGCGCTGCTCCCCAAGAATATTACGGTCAATCCAAATCCTTACCAAGATATATTCAGATACGGTTGATCGATATAATAATTAAGTGATCATTAATGCCAAAAATATCTTCTTCTATTTTTTTTAAAAACCTATAACATATTTGAACTGAAGTCAGTTGCCTGATTCATAGGCTAGAGAGGGAATAGTGTTTTCGAGAAATGTTTACAGTTTACAAATTGCAAAAATAGATTGGCTCATAACATAATAGGGCATTCGTGTGTCCACCCAGGGAGGGGGGGGGGGGGGTAATGGGGTGGGGGAGGGAAGTCCCCTGTCTTTAATTTAAAGGTGGTGAAATGAAAAAGAGAATACGGCCACATATTGAGGAGGAGTAGGGGGCGGGGCGGAAGGAGTCTTTCTATCTTGTCTTCGCCCCTTCCCCTTATTTCTCAATTTACCCTTGCGTAGCGTCACCACTTTGTGTATTCACATAAATGCTTAAAATGTATTATTTGCTTTGCATATGCGGATAACTCATTAAAATTAGTGATGTTTCACATTATTACTATAGCAATTGAGGTGAAGTTTATTGATGGAAAAAACAACACCTCTAAATTTGATGGCAGGCGCGAATGAAGCAGTTTTGGATGGAGGGGGGGGGGGGGGGACATTCCAGGGGGCTCACCTTTCAGGGGCAGTGGCGTAATGAGCAAAAACGTTTTTTTGGAGGGCATGCAAGTTTGGGGGAAAATGTTCCATGCAGTCCCCGTGGAACGTTTTTCAAAGTGGAGTAGGTAGAGCGTAAATTGGCGTGGGTCCGGGGGCTTTCCTGGCATTTCATTATGGTCAAATAAGCGAATTTATTTGTGACAATGGCAGATCGCTAATTGGCGTGGGGTCCAGGGGGCTGAGCCTCATGAAGCTCAGGGGTTTTAGGCATTTAATTATGGTCAGATGACCAATTCAGGAGCCCTTCTTATGGCCCCTGGTGGGGTTCAGAGGCAGAGCCCCCGGGAGCTCAAAAGGTTTTAGGGATTCAATTACGATCAAATAAGCATATTTTGATAACTGATTTGTGACACTGGCAGGTCACTTATTGGCCGGGGAGGGGGGGGGGGGGGTCCAGGGCACAGAGCCAAATGAAGCTCTGTGGTTTTAGGTATTTAATTACGGTCAGATGAGCATCCAGGGGCCCATCTTAGGGCCCTTGGTTGATACGTTCAGGGGACAGAGCCCCAGGAAGCTCAGGTTTTTTAAAGGTATTTAATTACGGTCAGATGAGCATCCAGGGGCCCATCTTCGGGCCCTTGATTGGTACGTTCAGGGGACAGAGCCCCCGGAATCTCAGGGGTTTTAGGTATTTAATTACGGTCAGATGCCCCCATTCCATCTTTCTTCCCTCCATCCTCCATGGTCCAATTCTACTCTATTTTCATTTTAACATTTATTTCATGCAAAATAGCTTACCAATTGACCGTTTTACAATATCTACACCAAAATTACAAAATAGGAATCAAACATTGCGTTATTGATTTAAAGTTTGCATCTACTTACACACCGTATTGGTTTTGAATTTGATTACGAGAGATTTTCACAACATTCCCTGTTTTATCTCCAACAGACTGCACATTGAGACTAACTGTATAGGATATCAAGAAGGGAAAAAAAGTAATTAAATGGTTTTCATTCATGTGCCTCTCTCAAACGTGTCACATTCAGAACGGGAGAAAGGCTGCTGACCTTTGAAAAGTTGGTAGATTGTTCAATGTGAATGTTTAGCATTTGTATTGTAGTGCCCTCTTTCGTCAGCAGAAAGCACAGGCAACTTGGAGAGAAACAAATTGGTAGAAAGAGGGAAAAGAGATTAGAGAAAAGGGGATGGCGCGGAAAAGTGAGAGCAAGGGAAAGAAGAGAGAACGAAGAGGAGAGAGAGAGAGAGAGAGAGAGAAAGAGAGAGAGAATGAGAGAGAGAGAGAGAGAGAGAGAGAGAGAGGAGAGAGAGAGAGAGAGAGAGAAAGAAAGAGGGGAGGGGAGGAGGAGTACAGAGATTTATATTTTGCAGCTATAAGTATAAATATTATCATCAGTGTTCGTCAATTTACATTTTATTTCACAAAACAACTACAAAAACAAACAAACACAAACCTGAGTTGTGTGTTAAATGAATTCCAGTACTTAAATTCTTTTAAATGTTAATTTGTTCATCAAAATACACAAAAGTTATAACGTGCATTATTTGAAAGTTAAAAGTGAGAAATTAATGACAAAGCAAGATGAAAAAAAAGAAAGAAAGAGAAAACGTAAAGATAAAAATGAACTTCGTTAATGGTATAAACTGAAAAAGATAAACTACCGCAAAGACACTGAAACAAATGAACAATTTCATATAATATTGAGAAAAGTATTTGATGGATGAACGAGATAAATATAATTATTAAAAAATCGGGTCAACAAGAGGAAAGTAATTTATAAAAAAAATTAAAATAAGTTTCTGTAATTTATAGGCTAAATTCGCATTCCACAGCGATAAATTGTAATATATCTCAAAGAAAATAGAACATTTCTTTTAAAGATATCGTTCAAACACGAATATCTCATTGTTGTTTTGCTTCGAAATTTCAGGCACCCAATAGGTTTATTAAAAATTACTGAAAATCATTTCAAACCCGTCTAAATTTTACGTTTCTTATTTGTAAATGTATAATACATTATATTTTGTTCGTAGTAGTATAGGCCTTTCAATAGAGGATACGCAGTGGCATCAATGAATTTTCATTTCTCGTTATGGATAATAATCCTATAAATAATTACGGCCTTTAGACATACAGACTACACGAAACGTAATACCCCTCCAAGAAATAAAGTATTTTTTGCACTGAAAATAATCCCCTTTCAAATATTATATTGATAGATTGTCCAGGCCAATGGCATATTTTGAATGAAATATGACACACTTTTGACCTCCTTATTTTGCCAAGTGTATTTGAGGAATTCATTGCCAGTGACCGCGGAAAAACCGAAAGAAAAAAAGGCCAACCCCTACATTCGGGTCGTTGCTTCAGGGGTTCCAGAGGGCGGGCAAAATAATATGGGACTATATCGTAAACATGTCAAGCAAAGGAACCATCGAGAAACCACGAGGAATATCATCAAATTATCAAAGACACAAAATGATCCTGACGGATTGGGATTGCATACTATTGTTCATAATTCCTTTTTTTTTATTTCGATAAAACTGAAACCATACTTCAACATATCCGACAAGTACTTTGCATAAATCCATCAACAATATCTGCATGAATATTACAAAAAACCTTTACAAAATATTAACAAGACTTAATATATACTTCGCTCAGATGGGAACATTTTTAAGTCATGTGATAACCTCTGTCTCACTGTCTGAACAGATTTTCATGCGTTATGAAACTTCTGTTTTTGATAAGCTTGATTGTTTCAGGTAATTAGTGTTAAGACATAGCTTTAATTTTAAACGAACACTGTACACTTTGGTTTGAGATAAATACACTTTTACAACCATGTAGCATCATTGTTTCCTTAGTAGTAAGGCATATTTTTCCTTTAAGGTTATTAGGAACGAACGTAAAAGATGAAAGATAATGATGCCTTTGTATCAAAATGATGTTATGACTGTCATGCCTGGAAGAAATGAATATAAGCCTGTCCATTGGGAGATGGATATGAAAAGGAGCGTTGTCTGATCGAAACATGAATCATCCCAAACTGGACAAAATAGGCTATTTGTCTACTTATAAGACAGGGCGTGGATGATTGCAAGATGACTTTTCCATAACGTATAACTATATACAAAAATACATTCTTTTCATTCTTGTGCTTTCATATTCTACATTTTCATGAATATTTAAAGAAGTGTAAGGAAATGGCATCAGCTTTAAGAATTCTCGTGAAATTAAATACAATGCGAAAGGATATACGACTACTACTACATCTACTACTGCTACTTCTACGACTATTATACTTCTGCTACCACTACTACTACTAGTTATAGTAATACTAATAGTAGTACAGTAGTAGTAGCTACATTTATATTGCGCACGTATCTATTCCAGGAGATGATCAAGGCGCCTACAAAGTATAGTATCATTACCCTGCCTTTAGCCCAGCCACCTTAGGGAGTTAAGAGCATTCCTACATGGTAGCCATTTACTAGACCCGGGGGAGAGTGGCAAATGTAGACCAATGCTTATTAATGCAACGAATGCCCCATTCTTAATACGGTCATCAGGTATATACTTAAACCTTAGATATGGTCAGCAACGCATGGGACAACATAGCTTGGACGTACCCATGCATTTTCCTTCTCACTATTACAGATCGTAGGGGCTGCCCACCCCGCTTTTCAAAGAAAGATAACAAAATCATGTTCAGCAATTTAGTTGCTCCAGAAACGAGGAAGACTAGCTTCATAGCCTTCTTGTCATTATGTCCATGTGATGACAGTCAATATCGTTTGAAGTGATCAAAGTTAAAAAAATTCCCATACATTTAAAGTGATATGATATTATCAGGGATGTTTTTAGAGTTGGGGAGATGTATACTGGATTTGTCCACTATAACAAAATTAATGTCGACAAACTATTGATTGTAATTTAGATTAATGGTAATCCAAATGTGTGAAATCGAGGACTTTCCTTTGAATCTTTTCTGTCTACTTGACTGCATGTCATGACATCGACCATGATCAAATACTCGTTCCTACACGTTGGGTTGATTCAGAAATTATCAAGGACTTAATGGTATTACCACCAAGGCGGAGGAATCTGGTCAAGTATTTTGATGGTTCTGGGATTTCGTGCCATTTGCGACGCACCATGCAGCCGAAGACAACTTTAAAGTGTGGGTGCTTCCATGCGTAGATCAGTGGGTTCAGACAGCTGTCCAAGACGAGCAGAACAGCAGCATACGACGAGACGTGGAGACCTACTCTCAACCATGATCCTTCAAGGAAGGGAAGGGCAAGAAATAGCCCCGTGTATGGGATGACGCAACAAAAGAATCCACAGATGACGTAGAGCAAGTTCTTGGTGATCACTAACTCGATCTGCTTCCGGTGGCGCTTACGACCTGACACTCCAGCGGATGGTCGACGGATGATAGCAGCATTGGACCTTGTCATGAGGGCGCTCTTCCTGACGTGTCTGAAGATCAAGATATAGCTGACGAAGGTCACGTTGAACGTTGTCATTGACATGACGGCAGCTAGGACCACATATATCTTTGCGTTCGGATGAGCGAAATCCCAGATGCAAAGTCGCGTTGATGGGTCATACCCCAGTCGACCATGCCGTCCGGACGTTTGAGGGATAATCAACGTGACGACCGGGTACATCCAAGAGAACATTATCATTGCAGCCATGAACTTGGTAGAAAATATGCGTTGGTATGCCTCTTTCGATCTCGTGATGAGTACGAAGCGGTTGAGACCTATGAGCGAGACGGTGATGACGCTACACGAGACGCAGGTAATGGCGACGTCGGCGACGATCTTGCAGATTAAGTCTGGAAGTGGCCATCCATCCTTGCCGAGCATTCCTGCAGCTTGCAGAGGTTGAACCAGTGACACGAGGAGGTCGGTCACGCTCAAACTGACAACGAAGATGTTGGTGGAGGTTTGAAGTTTGCGGGACAAGGCTACAGCCAGCAGAACCATCACGTTCCCGGTGGTTCCCGCAACAAACATGACCAACAAGGCGGAGGCCAGGAAGTCTCTCTCCCAATCATCAAGGAGGAAAGTAGCATTGGTTCCATCCATTCCAGCATCCATTGGTATCATCTACGTGTCGATTGTTTGAAGTAATATAAAGTCTCTGAATAATATTATCTGAAATCATAAAGAGAAACACAATGTAAGCGCATGCATGTTCTACTTCACAACGTTTCAAACTTCCTGAGCACAGTGATCAATGAACTTTCCTACTGATCAATGAACTTTCCTACTTCATATTTCGGATTGATATCAGATCATATCTTATCTAATTTTGCCAGGATGTCAGCAGATAATATTCGTCATAATATTTTACGACTATGTTCGTTTTTCTTTTGGTAATCAACAATGTCAATGACTCGCGATACAACTGGGGATGTGGAGAAATACAAGATAAATGACACATAAAACATTATAGCTTACATTTGACCTACAATTGGCAATGCATTGTTAAGAATTTCCTTAATCAAGTTTTGTTCGGGGGGGGGGGGGTATAATGATAACTTGAGAAGCCTTATTCTTTTATTTCCATCTAATCTACTTTATGATCAGGGTACTACGTTTTGTAATTTGTACAACCCAGCTTCTCTAATTTCGTCTTATTCTCTAATTTTCGAGTATATGCGTAGTTTTCTCTGTGCAATTTTACTTGCTTGTTGTTAATTCGTGAATTGAAGAGGAATAAGAAGGAGAATGGTATTCATTCTGTTAATTTTGCATTCCATGTTAAAGACATTGTAGCAATTGTTTGGCTAAATCAACATAAGCATATGATAAGGGTACTCCATGTGTCCAAAACAATGTTGGCAATTTATACCCAGTAAAATAACATAACGTTGAAAAACTATTAACGGCTCCCCTTGAGTATAGCAATACGTTGTACAATTAAAATAAAGTCTTACAACAATTATGAGCACTTATAAAATGACACGAAAATCCAACAAGTATTTGATCTTTGAAAAATAAGATCACTTCTAAATACTTACATACTTGGGTTCTGAAATGCAACACCACACTGCTCTCATTATTTAAATACTGTTGTAAAATGTTGACCGTTTTTCGAAAATAAGAAACATGGTGAGAAATTTGAGCATAGAAACTCCTGCTTCGATACCGTTTAAGTTTTAATTTAACTTCATACTGCATCGAAAGTCTATGTGTTGCCTTTATAGTTTTAAGTGCGTTAATTAAGGACCATGCGTATCGGTGTATCAATAATCACCGTGAATACATACAGCCGCTTTACTTGATTGTTGATCAAATTATCATGGTGAATGTGTCATAATTCTTCATTTCTTTCTAATCGGAATTCAAATAGCTTGATTGCTTCCTTTGTGATAAGGATAATAGCTCATTAGGATTGTGTTAATTGTTATCCAAATACTTTGCCTTCTTTAATCGCTCATTAGAACCATCTGAAAACGGTCCTGTTGCACGCACACAAAACATTAAACAAAAAACATTAACAAACAAAACAACAACAACAAAATAGGACTTGACAATAACAATGAGATTTCAAGCGCTGAACGTAAGGAGACGCAAATGCAAATGAATGTTTTGCTCAATCGTACACATTAGTGCCGTACAGAGCCTCGAACCAATGACCTTTGGAAATACATGTAGAAAGTCAAGCGTTCAAACCACCTACTCGAGCGCGATGCCTCTCCAAAATGATTTGTAAATTATTAAACTAACTCGCGTAAAATTGTTCGTTTTATGCCCAAATTTTGGTCAAAACATTTGGTAACACAGTATAACATACTTCCTATTTTATATGATCTTTTTGTACTTTCTTCGATTTATATTAGCTATTTGTCGTTATTCTGTCCTTGAGTAATTCATCAAGAAATCATCACAAAGAGCTGTGATAGATAATTGGATCAATTTATTCACATGTGTACACATACAGCTTCTGTAAGAAGAAAAACAAATCGTTTAAAAAATAGAATTCTGAACATAACACAAATATTCCTCCAATACGTCACGAGTTCATTGACATTTTAATAATGGAAGTATTGACTATTTTTTGTGTAAAAATCTCTCCTTGTTATATCTGTTATTGTTTTAATTAAAAAAAAAATTGCAAAAAAAATTGATGTTAGAATTTTCGTTAATAGGCTTTGAGTATCAAAATGAGAGTGATTTTAATCATTTCAAATAAACCTAAGTAACTATTACCGAAATTGTTATAAGTATGATTGATACAAATAATTACATAATCCGAGCCCATGTGAGACACTAAAACACTGAAAGCGAAATAAACATGTTTTTTGAATGATTTTGTGTAATCTGTGTTTACTTTTAAAGCTGGCCTAGTTAGACGAATCAATGAACTAACAGATTAAAGTACAACAAGTTGAACATACTTCATATATAACCAGCAAATTTATTTATTGCTATATCTATTACAATCATAAATTAAGTTGGATTTCAAGTACAAATAACATGACCCCATTACAATGCTTTTGTGGAAGTTCAAGTTAACTTGTGCCAGAAAGATAACAAGGTCATCATTAACAAGATTCTGTCTGTATATTTGATTTAATTGCCACTGTTTGAGACTGTTTGAAATAAAAATAGGGAAAGTGAAATTAAAGTTTGTAGTATTACTGGTAATGAAGATTTGATTGACATTAACAAGGCCATTCTAGTGCTGCGATCTGCGGGCACTACTGCTGTGGTTTGCAGGCCAAACAATAGAATAACATAAAATTGATAAAAAGAATTACAAACATATCTCTAAAACTTTGTAATGAGTAGTATATAGTTTAATACTAGTCACGCAAATGATAGAAGTGCCTAGATTCAGCGGCGGATCCAGGAACATTTTACACGGGAGACGAGTGCAAAACAATTTATACGGAATTGATTAATGTTTGTTTTTTCTCTTATTAATTTCTTAAATTTATTTATTCAATTATTTATTTGTTTATTTATATATTCATTCATCTATTTATGTGTGAATTAATTAATTGATTGGTTAATGTAATTATTTATTTAACTCAACCACTCAAGGAATGGCCTTCTATCTTGCCAAAATACATGTGCTTTAGTGCCTGCCGCGGCAGGCCTCGAACCGCGAACCATGCGATACATGGTCCGATGACGTATCCACTAGACCACGACACCTCTACTTTACAATGATTATAACAATCAGATAATTTATCGTTGACGCCGATCCAGCAAAATCTTGAATGAATGACTGGCGCCGCCAGCACAAATACAACCAGGCATTAAAATAAAATGAACATGAGAAAAGTGCATTCATAACCTGCAGAAATACAAACTCGCACCTGGATATTTTCTTCATTCAGTTCATAAAGTACCGGGTTACATACGGGCAGACAATATAAGCACAATATAAAACATGAGACTCATATTGGCTTGCATGCGTTCTTTAAATAAAACATGATCTCATATTACAGGGACGCAAAACAAAATTGGGTTAAATAGAGTGCATGGCCACCGATATCTTCTTAAAGGTAAAGACCAGTAATGGTCATGCGATTGCATTGTGAAAGAAACGTTGTGGAATCGATCAGAAAAGGTTGATCATCTAGCATCTAGCATCTGCAAGGTTCTGGAATCATCAAAATGATAAGAAATTTGGCCCATTCTTCGTAAAGTTACAAGCACTATACACAGAAAGATGTATATGGGACTACCCTATCTCTCTCACCAGACCATGAGAGAAATAAATTTACCAAATATATGAATTAGTAGGCGGTTTCCCGGCAAATTTTTTATCATCATGTATTAGTCAAAACATATTCTTTCACATGATTGGTAATGAGAGCTTCCATTTCATTTTTTGAAATTGGGGCGTTGCCAATACTGGTCTTTACCTTTAACGTTTTATTTTATATTATGCGTACTGGCAACTGAATACGATTGATGTTGTTGGTTTGAGAATGACTGGTAAGATATATTTCTTTTTTTAGTGGGCCTATAATATGCAACCGGTGGCGGCATCCATGTTGGAGGAGGGGGGGGGGGGGGGGGAGAGGGTTGCTCTGGCTCCAATGAAAGACTTTCCCCCTCCAGTACTTGACCCAATTAACTTCTCTAGGAAATAGGTAGAGGTTTAGGTAAAAATGTTTTGGTGCTATATTTGGTTTTTCAGTATGGAAAATACCTAAATTTTTGCCGCCTTTTTTGTTTTTGTGACGCGATTTGTTTTTTATTGTCATTTTTATTCAAAGCGCAGATTCCACTTAGCTAATCAATACTTAATTGCCACTGAATCGTTTTCCTGAACCAGACTCTGTAAAGACACTCTCAGGATATCCTTCAGCCTCTCAAGGATCATCTTTCAACCACAACAATTTCTTACCGACTTACAGTTTACTATCATATTTTTATATTACAATTAATATTCAGGTTTATGACTATCTTTTAGTATCCGCCTTGGATTTCCTTTTAAATTCATGTCGGATTTCTAGAGCAAATAAAAGAACCCCGCAATACGAGGAAATGTCTCGAAGATATAATTTCAAGGGTATCTTCAAGATTATAATTTCAAGAGCACCACGCAATTGTTAACAATAGCACTAACATCTCAACCATATAGAAGGAGAACGATATTAAATAATGAGTTGCATGATACATGAACAGAACTTCTGAGGAAAAAAAAAATGATCATAAATACATCAAGTATACTAAGAAAACTGTGATATTATGTAAACTTTTGTGTTTATCAAGTAGTGGGCAGCCTACATTTAGGTTTGTGATGATTAGTGGAATTATCAACGTCCGAGAAATATTGACTAAAAACATTTTTTTCGTAAATCGTCCTTACTTCTCAACATATCAAGCTAAACAAAAACGCCGTTCAATGGCTTTAGTTACCTTATCAAATAATACACATCAAAGCTATTCATTTTGTTTCGTTATTATCACAAACAAGGATAAATCACTTCACTGTCTATCATGGAGAGGCAAAACAAGGAAAATAAAGTTTTGTATAGTTTATTGAACTTCATCTTTACACACTCTTTAAAATACTGGGATAAAAAAAAATTGCCCACGAGGGTAATTATGTATCTAACCTACTTAGGGCA